CCTCACATGGGTGCTTTAGTCTTGGTGCGGGTGCAGTCTTGTGGCGGTCCACTAGGTCATCGTCTTCAGCTCAGTCCAATTGTGAGGCAGAGATCTATACTGGTGCTATGGCTGCTCAGGAGCTCCATTGGTTGACGCTCTTGCTCACAGACTTAGGTGAGCGGCCAACCAATGGAGCGTCAACCAATGGAGCCTATTTGAGAGCGGCTCCATTTGTAACGCCTATTTGGAGTGGCTCCATTTGGTTTGCCCCGAACCTATTTGCTAATAACAGGGCCATGATCCTCTTGCGCCAGGAGGCTCGACTTGAGGGCAAGGCCAAGCACATCCAGCTTCGGTGCTTCCTGCTGTGTGAGTTTCAGCGGCGCGGCCAGGCTCATGTAGTACAGTTGGCCTCAGAAACCAACACTGTTGATATCTTCACCAAGGCCCTTGGGCCTCGTGACCATCAGTGGTCTTGCACCCATGTTGGTCTAGTTCCAGTTGCCATTTACTTCCAGTTCCAGCTCCGGTTCTGCACTCAGCTCGGTCTTGTATCCTGATCTGTGCTATACCGACTTTTTACTTACTACTCTATACAGGTTGTCTTGTTACACTTGCTGATTGGCCTTCTGGCCCTTGTCTTAGTGGTCAGACTAGTAGCATTGCCCTAAGCTGTTTGTTACGTACTCCAGAGGCCAGACAAATAGTGCTACCCTCAATTGTTGTATCCTGTTAGGCTCTGTCCCTACCCAAGTTAAGGGGTGTATTAGAGTTTGTATATATATGTGTATGTGTTAGGAATATATGAAGTATAATCTAGCTAGGTATAGTTTATATAGGGTACAAAACCTAGATAGATTCTCTTTGTGGTTGCCATGTACCAATCAAAATTTTCTCCTCGTAACTTGGTATTAGAGCCAGAGGTCTCGGGTTCGAATCCCAGTGTGCACTGCAGAAGTGTCGAGTCCTCCGCCTACTCCAGGAGGGGGGGTGTCGAGAGATCCACTGGGTTCACCCTAGAAGATCATCGGAAGGGCCACAGGCTGCTATGCCTGGGGGGTTATGGGCACGCTATCCCGTTAACTAGCCCTTGTAGCACAGTGGTTAGCGGCTGTGTACCATAGTTATGTGCAGATAATAGGGTACAACACCTAGATACAACCTCTGTGTTCTCCTTGCTTGAGTCACTTGCTTCTATCATCTTGACAAAATGAGACTAGGCTCAGAGCGCACTCGACAAGCATGAAACTTGCTAGGCGCACAACATGCATGCAACTCGGATTTGTGACATTTTCGGGTGGCACAATCTGGATTAACACGGCACAATAGCACAAAAACGTCGTTATGGTAGTGTACACGTTGATTCAATCTAAACTATTGGGAAATATGATTTCCTTACCCTAGTATTCACACTCCAAATAAACTATAGCTATCTTTTGTCAATATTGATTTTTAACAAAAGCATACTATACCCCATAGTACCAACCTTTGTTCCTTCTTGTAATGAAGTGCAAAGAGCGTGTGTCGAACGATTGAGTAGCGAGGAAACAGTACAATGAGGCAACATCAAAACAACAGGGGGTATGGATATAGCTAGGCCTAGAGCACACGGTCGATGCTCGGCATAGCTGAGACGTGTGGATTGTAAATTGGCACGAAGCGCCCAGATCTAGGCATGAAACAGCAAGGCGGGCAAAATGCTTGCAGTTCGTCAAGAGACGACATTTGGGTGCCGCGATTTGAATTTCGAGGCAGAGCTATGCGGCAACCCCGTTATGACAGTGTATGCCTTTCTAAAAAAAAACTTGTAATAAGGAAATACCATTTCCTTACACCCTCCTCCCTCCAAGGTATGTTCTTAGCTAAGATCGTCGTCGTCGCGCACATTGCGTGACTGGAGGTAGACTCGTAATACTGGGTAGTTCTTGATCTGTGCCAGGGGCACCCAATTGTTTTCCAGGATCGTCTGGTCCTTCCAAGATATCAAAAACTCAAACAGGCGAGCCCCTCGAGGGTCCTTGATCCGATGGCTGAGTATCTTCGCAGGTTCGACTGTAGGTTCGGCGAGCGGTCGGATGTTCGGTTTGGCCCGATGGCATGGCAATTCACTGGTGCTGGCGATGTATGGTCGTAATGGTCGCACGTGAAATGATGGGCTCACGTTCCAGGTGGCTGGCAACAGTAGATGGGCTGTAATGGAGGATATCATGTGGCTGATTGTAAATGGTCCGCAATAGCAAGGGCGAAATTTTGGGACGATGAGCAGTCGAAGAATTTGGATGTCGAGCAGTACTAAGTCTCTAGCCTGGTAAGCCACTACTCGTCGATGTAGATCGGCGTTGCGCTTAGAAATAACATTCATGCGCTTAATGGCTTCGGCTGCTCGCTCTCGGGCATTCCGTAATAATCGACGAACTGTTGGGCTCGGATATAGGATTTTCGATGTTGAGCGTGATAGGAACTGTAGGGTTCTGTCCATAATTCAGGGAGAATGGCGGTTGTCGGGTAGTGGCTGACGGGGCGTTATTATACACGAACTCAATCAGTGGCAGTTGCTACTCCCAGTCGGCCACGTCATCACAGGTGGCGCAAATCAGCTACTCCATCGTATGATTGGCCCGTTCGGCCTGTCCATCAGTCTCGGGGTGGTAGGCGGAGGAGAATTGTAGGCGCGTGCCAAACTAGTCCCAAAGTTTGCGCCAGAAGTTGCTGGTGAATTTTGTATCACCATCCGAAATGATGGTGGATGGAATTCCGTGGAGGCGAATGACGGTCGAGATGAAAAGGCATGTTGTTTCTTCGGCTGAGATGCTTTTCTTGCAGGCGGCAAAGTGGGCCATCTTCGTCAGCTTATCGACGACGACAAATATCACGTCATTGTAGCCATTCTTGGCAGGCAGTCCCGTGACGAAATCCATCGTAACCTGCTGCCACGCATGCTCAGGTGGTGGAATCAGCTGCAACTATCCAGCTGGCTTCTGCTTTGACGATTTCATGGTTTGGCAGGTTCTGCACGAAACCAAATGCCGCTGCACGTCCCCTCGCATGTCAGGCCAGAAATAGTATCCGGTCAATTGTTGCTGTGCTTTCTCCACTCCGAAATGTCCTGAACTGTACTGTCGTGGCTTCCTGCAGTAACAACTCCCATAATAGGCTGTACTCCGGTACCCAGATGCAGTCAGTCCCTGTCTTTACATAATAGACTCTCTTAGCCGTTGTGAGCAGTTCGTACGCTCCCGATGTAAAGAATCTGTCCGTTTGGTACCCCTGGGTAAATAGGCCTAATAAGAGGGGGAAAGTTTGGGCGATGATGATTGAATTGAGGTGGGCGGATGGGCGAGAAAGGGGGTCTCTAATGTTCGATGCCCCTAACAGTATAGTGGAAGTGATAGTATAGGTGACAGTATAGTGGAAGTTGGATTCCATATAATTCAATCACCTGATCTGTCGTGGGATTAGCGGTGGCTGTGCACGAATGTACTGTAGGCTGCGATGGCCTTTCCGTGCTGTCACATTCGCGCCTGTTAGGTAGCTCCGCCAGACTTTGAAGATGTGCATGATCGCGAGCATCTCCTTGTCGTATATCGGATAGTTTCGCTCGGCGGGTGTAACTTTCATAACTTGTACGCGATTGGCTACAGACCTTCGCCGAAGTCCTGTAACAGTACTGCTTTGATGGTGATGCGGTGTCAGAGATGACTTCAAATGGACGGTGAGGATTGGTGATGCGAAGGACAGGGGCTGAAAATATAAAAGTTTTGAGCGCGGAGAAAGCAACTTGTGCTTTCTCCACCCACCTATACTCAGTCCCCCTCCGCAACAAGTCTGTCAACGGTGCAGTTACCCCCGCCATATTTGGGATAAATCTCTGAACATTATTGACGAACCTTAAAATACTTTGCAGCTCCTGCAGGTTCGTAGGCGGTAGCCAGGCTTGCACTGCCTCGATTTTGCGTGGGTCCACTTCAACGCCCTTAGTGGAAATGACATGACCTAGAAATTCTAGCCTACCTTTAAAAAACTCGCACTTAGACCCCTTCGTTGTTGTGTGATGTCATCATATGCTATCACATTCTGTCTGCCTCCCATCCCATGTTTTTTCAACTTGCATGTGTGGTTTGAATGTGCAAGCATTTGTGTGTGGTGTGTTCTGGAGTTTGGGAATGTGTTTTGTGTTATTCTGTCTGAGCAGGTATTTGTGATAATAGATCTTGAGAAGATCTTTCCGACGCAACAAGAATCGCTTCAATCGGAGCAAGAACGCGAAAGCTATGAAGATTCAAAGTTCATGAGCTTGCGTTACAATTGCGGCGGTTACTAAGTGAAGTTGTGGGGTGACTTTATATGGAGTTGGGACCTTTGGGGTTGGGGAAACTTGTCACTCTACTGTAACAGCTGCAAATTGGTTGGGAACAACCAAGCTAGGTTGGCAAGGGTGGCCAACTTGGATGGATTGGTTGGGAAGGGACAAATGTCAAAGTTGGGGTTCCTATAGGGAGGGAATCTTTGTGCTTATGGGGTTTCCTTGGTTGGGGACTCTCTTGGGACCTTCCCTCTCATCCCTCTCTTCCTATCCCAACCTTTCTCTTGCTCCTTCTAATTCCTTGTGAGATTCTTGAACTTTGATTGAACTCTTGAGATTGAGTTAAGTTCTCCTCCTACAGCTTACCCCCTAGTGCGTCGAAAGCCATAGCGTCGCGAATACTTCATCAATCAACGTGATTCAAATTGGGAACGGTAGCTGAGATCAAGAGCTACAACATATCCAAGTTTCGCGACATTCCAACGGCTAGTGTTTTGTCGACGTCGTTTCTTGTGAAGACGACTTTTCTGTCCAGAATTTCGGATTTATATTTTGAGTAATTCTAGCTCCTAAGTTCACCTAGACTCTGTCCTTAATCCTAACAAGTGGTATCAGAGCGATATTAAGGACATTGAGAGGAGTCTACAGAAGTGTGAAGACCCTTCTAGACCCACCATGGCCTGTGGGTGTGCCTAAGTGGTGTTCTAAAGGTTGGATGTGTCTTCCGCTAAGGGAAACTCTGCCGAAATTTCGTGGACGCCGACACTTGTGAAAATATCGAGGGAGCTGAGTGTGGACAGCAAAGGGGAGCTGAAATTCGTCATTTCTCAAGGAGAAGATGAATGAGAGAGGAGGAGATGCTAATGGAAGAGGAGCTGTAGCTGAGAAGACAAGTGAGCCGCCGCCATCAAAAGTTGAAGCTTTGGATGGCTCCAACTATGAGGAATGGAGCGGACGGATGAGGAGTGCCTTCAAACGCTACAAGCTCCTGAAGATTGCTGTTGGGGAAGAGAAGATGCCGGAAGAAGGCGAAGCACGTGAACGGTGGATTGAGAAAAGCGCGGTGCTTTTCGACCTCATTCTTCAATCGGTCAACAAGGAGATGTTCGAGCACATCAAGGATCTTGTGGAAGCGGATGATTCGGGTCCAAGGGCGTGGAAACTACTACGTGATGTGGTTCAGCCCAACACTCTCCTGATGGTGATCGTGCTCGAGAAGGAACTTGCTGCCATCTCCATGCGACCAGGGGACGATGTGAAGCCGGTCCTTGACAAGATCAAGGACACCTATGCAAGGATGGCAGCAGCGGGCAGCAGTGTATCTCAGCTGCAGCAGTGCACCAAGATCATCTCGGTGTTGGACAACTCTTGGGACAACCTCATCCCCACCCTCAACTCTCAGCAAGATCAATGGACACCTGAGTGGCTAAGGCAGCAGATTCTGCAGGAGGACTTCCGCAGACGCCATGTGGGAGGCGGTGCTGCCACTAAGACTGCTGAGGGGTATGGAGCTGCAGGGCGCAGCAGAGGAAGAGGGGGTTGGAAAGGCCGAGGCCGTGGGAGGAGCTTTGGCAGAGGTAGAGGCCGAGGTGACTATAATGAGGGGCATGGGAGCTCTAGTGGCAGGGGGAGTACCAGAATGGAGGGCACGTGCTGGTACTGCAAGAAGGTTGGGCATCCTTGGTTCAAGTGCTTCAGCAGGCTGGAGGGATGGGCACCTCCAGGCATGAAGCCGCCCAGTGGTGAACGCGCACAAGGTGGCGCTGTGCAAGGCTCAGGTGCACAAGGTGAAGGTGCACAAGGTAATGCCTATCCTGGTTTGTTTGTTATGGTTGAGGATGTGCATGGGCATGAGGGTGATGTGGGATCTGTGGGAAAGGTTGTGATGCACCCTCTCACGCACTGGGTGATTGATTCGGGTTGCACCAGTCACATGACTCCACGGGCAGATTTGCTTGATGAGGTAAAACCCCCTGGGAAGATTAAGTATGTGGCAGCAGCGTCAGGTGCTTTGCTCCCCGTGATTGGTGTTGGGAATGCCAAGGTTAAGGGAGCTAATGGGGAGCTTGTGGGGCTTGGGAATGTTCTGCTGGTTAAAGGCTTGTCTGCTAACCTTCTCTCTGTGCGGCGACTGCAGAAGAGTAAGGCCGAAGTGACCTTTGGACCAACCAGCTGCCGTGCTAAGCTTGGGAAGAAGGTGCTGTGGAGTTTGGAAGAGGAGACCAGCTGCATCAAGGACCTGTGGCAGCTGCCCATCATCCCATGGAATGGGAAGACTCCAACAGCAGCAACGGCAGCAGCGGCAAAGGCAACAGCAGGAGGAGATGCAACTGCACCAACTGATGGGGTCCTGGAAGCAGTCAAGAAAGTGCAGCAGCAGCAGACACATGGTGAGGTGCTTGCTGGTGTGGATGCAAGTGCGGCATGGGCTAAGGCTTCACCAAGGAGTGGAGAGGCCGATTGGGAGACATGGCATGAGAGGCTGTGTCATGTGAACTTCCCTATGCTGCAGAAGTTGGTGAAGGATGGGAGCCTGAAGGGCTTGGAGGTGAAAGGGGGAGTGAAGGAGATTGGGAGCTGCCCTACATGCTTGGAGACCAAGTTCTCCAAGTTCCCCTTCAACAGCACTACAGGACCAGCCAAGACCCCACTTGCACTTGTGCATATGGATGTGGTGGGGCCCACAAGAGCCCCTTCCCTCTCAGGCAGCCGCTATTTCTTGACAATTGTGGATGACCACACTCGGGCAGTGTGGGTTTACCCTTTGAACAGCAAGGGGGAGGTGGCAGCGGCTGTCCTTAAGGAGTGGATGCCTAGAGCTCAGAGGGAATGCGGACACAAGGTGAAGGTGATCCGCAGTGACAATGGTGGGGAGTTCATTGGAGCTGATTTTGAGGGGGAGTTGAAGAGGAAGGGGATCCAGCATCAACTGACAGTGCCCTACAATCCGCAGCAGAATGGCGTGGCTGAGAGGTTCAACAGGACCCTGCAGGAGGGGGCACGCACTCTCCTTGGGCGTGCAGGGCTACCTGATCCGTTTTGGGTGTCTGCACTGAGGCAGGTCGCCCTTGTGAAGAACAGGGTGCTGGCTACAGTTGGAGATAAGGAGTGGATCCCATATATCAAGTGGTATGGGAGTGCTCCAGCTGTGAACATGCTGAGGGCATTTGGGTGCATGGTAGTGTTTCATGTGCCTAAGGAGAAAAGAGGGAAGTTGGAGGCTTCTGGAAGATGGGGTGTGCACTTGGGGATTGCAAAGGATCACAAGGGATGGCTGCTATGGGACTTGACCACCCAGAAGCTGACAGTGTCAAGGGATGTGAAGTTTCTTGAGTCCCTGTACTACAAGGAATGGAAGCAGCAGCAACAGAAGCTTCCATCTACACCGCTCATTGTGGAGGCAGATGAGGTGCAGCAGCCTTCAAGACAGGTGGAGGTTGCAGTGTCAGAGGAGGAGATGTCTGGGGTGACTGAGGAAGGGGGAGCAGCTGAAGTAGAGCAGCAGCAGCAGCAGCAGCATGAGTCTCCACCTCGAGTTCCACACCCGCCTGAGCGTCCTAGGAGGGATGTGCGCCCTCCAGTGAGGCTGACCTATGGGGGAAGAGGCAAGCCGAATGTGGTGCAGGCTGGGAGTGTGGTTGAGCAGATTGAGGAAGATGAGATCGCTCACTGCTACTGGGCACCAATCCCTGAGCCCAAGACTCGAGAAGAGGCCTTGAATGGACCAAATGGGGAGAAGTGGAAGGCGAGTGAGGATGAGGAGTTCGGGTCCCTAATTGAGAACGAGACATGGGACCTGTGTGACTTGCCTCCTGGAAAGAAGGCAATCACTTCCAAGATGATCTACAGGCACAAGTATGGACCTGAAGGGGAGCTGACCCGCTACAAGTCTAGGCTTGTGGCACGGGGGTTTCAGCAGACAAAGGGGAAGGACTATGATGAGGTGTTTGCTCCTGTGGGGAAAGGAACAACACTGAGGGTGCTGTTGGCGATAGCTGCACTCCTGGGATGGAAGATTCGGCAGATGGATATTGTGACTGCCTTTCTGAATGGGATCATTATGGAGGAGGTGTACATGAAGCAGCCAGAGGGGCTGGATGATGGGAGCGGCAGGGTCTGCAGGCTGAAGAAGGCAATCTATGGCCTTAAGCAGGCGCCTCGTGCATGGTATCACAAGTTGGAGGAGGCGCTGGTGGCTGGGGGTTTCAAGAAGAGTGAGTGTGACCCCAGCCTGTTCCTGCTGCAGGAGAAGGACGAAATCCTCATGCTCTTGGTGTATATGGATGATATCCTTCTCTTTTCTGCATCCACTGCTTTGCTGGACAGCGCAGAGCAGATGCTGGAGATGCAGTTCAAGTGCTCCAAGATGGGTGAGGTGAAGTACTACTTGGGGATGCATGTGGAGAGAGATGTGGAGAAGGGTGTGCTGAGGTTGCACCAGAGGAAGTACTGTGAGGGGCTGGCTGAGAAGTATGGGCTGCAAGATGGGGGAAAGCCAGCAACACCACTACCTTCAGGGTTTACTGTGGAGCCATGTGCTGATGAGGAGGTAGTGGGTGAGAGTGACAGGAAGCTGTTTCATTCGATGGTTGGGTCGCTGAATTATGCTGCAAATCATACACGGCCTGACATTGCATTTTCTACATCACGGTTGGCTAGTGTGGTCTCACGCCCTAGTCATGAGCAGCTGGAAGCGGCCAAGAGGTTGGTCCGCTATGTGAGTGCTACGGCATCAGTGGGATTGGAGTACAGTGGAGTGAGGCAGCGGTTGCAGAGAGGTGCTGCAGATGTGAAGAGTGGAAAGATGCTCTTGAGTTGCTATACTGACGCTAGCTTCAACTCAGTGAAAGCGGATGGCACCAGCATTGGGGGTTATGTGTGCTTGCTAGGAGGTGGTGCTGTGAGCTGGCGCAGCAAGAAGCAGAATGAGGTGGGATTGTCCTCATGTGAGACTGAGTACATGGCCTTACACCATGGGGCCAAGGAAGTAGTGTGGCTAAGGCGTTTGTTGGAGGAGTTGGGAGTTGGTCAGGAGGAGCCGACAGTTGTGTTCTGTGACAATGAGTCTGCTGTGAAGCTCGCCAAGAATGCTTGTCTGCATGGGCTGACAAAACACATAAGGCCTAAGTGGCATTGGGTGAGGAGACTCCTTGATAAGGAGGTGCGGCTGGAGATAGTGAAGACCCATCAGCAGGCAGCAGATATTTTCACTAAGCGTCTGGCGGAGGCGGATCATTGGAAGGGCATGAAGCTTGCTGGGATGAGTGTGCATTGAGTATGCATGCTTGAGATGTGGTATGGTCGATGATGGTTGGCAGCCAGAGGGGGAGATTGTTGTGTGATGTCATCATATGCTATCACATTCTGTCTGCCTCCCATCCCATGTTTTTTCAACTTGCATGTGTGGTTTGAATGTGCAAGCATTTGTGTGTGGTGTGTTCTGGAGTTTGGGAATGTGTTTTGTGTTATTCTGTCTGAGCAGGTATTTGTGATAATAGATCTTGAGAAGATCTTTCCGACGCAACAAGAATCGCTTCAATCGGAGCAAGAACGCGAAAGCTATGAAGATTCAAAGTTCATGAGCTTGCGTTACAATTGCGGCGGTTACTAAGTGAAGTTGTGGGGTGACTTTATATGGAGTTGGGACCTTTGGGGTTGGGGAAACTTGTCACTCTACTGTAACAGCTGCAAATTGGTTGGGAACAACCAAGCTAGGTTGGCAAGGGTGGCCAACTTGGATGGATTGGTTGGGAAGGGACAAATGTCAAAGTTGGGGTTCCTATAGGGAGGGAATCTTTGTGCTTATGGGGTTTCCTTGGTTGGGGACTCTCTTGGGACCTTCCCTCTCATCCCTCTCTTCCTATCCCAACCTTTCTCTTGCTCCTTCTAATTCCTTGTGAGATTCTTGAACTTTGATTGAACTCTTGAGATTGAGTTAAGTTCTCCTCCTACAGCTTACCCCCTAGTGCGTCGAAAGCCATAGCGTCGCGAATACTTCATCAATCAACGTGATTCAAATTGGGAACGGTAGCTGAGATCAAGAGCTACAACATATCCAAGTTTCGCGACATTCCAACGGCTAGTGTTTTGTCGACGTCGTTTCTTGTGAAGACGACTTTTCTGTCCAGAATTTCGGATTTATATTTTGAGTAATTCTAGCTCCTAAGTTCACCTAGACTCTGTCCTTAATCCTAACATTCGTGAGCAGCCGATGCTCCTGCAGTAGCATGAAAATTGCTTTGAGGTCATTTAAGTGCTGCTCCAGGTCTCACTGTGGATCAGGTTGTCGTCTAGGTAAACTTATATACGAGTGAACTGAAAATCTGGTTCATGGTCATCTCGTAGATATATTTTCGAGAAGAAGCGAGCTTTGCGAAGTTGGGCGATTCGTTCGTCGGCACGAGGGATGGGGTAACGAGACTTGATAGTCACCCTATTCAGTGCTCTGTAATCATTACACATTCAGCCGTCCTTTTTCGGGTGAACAGTATTGGGGCGGCGAACGGGGTTGAACTCGGACGAATGATTTTTTTCTCAAGTATTTTAACAGCTTCTGTAACTCCTCTAACTCCGCCTGTGTCAGTCAAAATTGCCGCTGAACGGTGGGTTGTGTCCCTGGTTCTAACTATATTCGATGGTCAAAAGGTCGCTTGGAAAAATCTGTGGGAATCTGCGAATCAGTTGCGCGAGGTCAGCCGGAACTGCTGCGGTCAGCTTCTCTGAATCGGACGGCTGCGATGACACGTCAATCTTGCGAACGACTACAGCGAAGAATTCTGCTTCCCATGCGAAAACTCTTTTTATCGTCACTCCCCTTGTGATCCCCTTCTTCCACTCTAGTAACACTACACTAGAGCCATTGGTCTTTACGGAACAGCTGCCGGATTGAAGCGTCACAGCCAATCCCGTCCTAGCAGCATGTCGAAGCCGTCGAGTGTATTTGCCAGCATCCCTATTGAAAACTGAAGTCAGCTCCACAGCGTACCCAATTTTTTTCCACCCGGTCCTTTATTGCGAATGGGGTCCCATCGACTAGTCGGGCGTCAATCTCCGGTAGACACCAATGGTAAATTCTTTTTTTCTGGCCGTGGCGAGGTTGATCAGATAGTGGCTGGCTCCTCCGTCCACAAAGATTTTATTATTTCCCCTGAACCCTACCCTCTAAACAAATGGGGCAATCCACCACTGCACCCTCCTTATTCAACCGGGTTTGGTCGATTGCATGGATCGGTACCAGAACTCGATGAGGGTCATCGGTCACGGGCGAGCAGGTTCCATTAGTAGTAGTCCCGTTAACTACTGATACTAAGCGTTTCCCTGATCGACAGAACTCCCATGTCCCTGATTCCGCTTCTTCCGCTCCTCTGGGCATTCTAACTTGTGGTAACCCGGCCTATTACAACCGAACCAGCGACCCTTGAAGGCTGTAACTGCTGAGTTCGAGGTTGTAACAACATGTACAGTGGCATGCTCGATTGGTCCGCGAGTGCGATTTCCATCGTAGGAACTCGCCCCTGGATACGCCGTTTCAGAGCTGCGCGGCAACCCGGTTATAGCAGTGTATGCCTTGCTAATTAAAACCCGTGATAAGGAAATACTATTTCCTTACACTTCTTGTAAGGAAAATCCCTTTTCCTTATCGAGCCTCGCTAACATCGAGTACAACCCTGATCTTCAGAAGTCCAGGCTTCGCCCGACATCTCAGGTCCGAACTACATTCGAGACCCCCAAGCCTACACGCGGCATCGCGTTCGACACTTCCGAGTCCCGAGGCGCCCAAACCACCTCGTGTGTGTTTCGTGGCCTTTCTCAAGGCTCCCTTGCTGGGTTAGCTGTGCTTGTATTTAGCTCTGTGCCTCATTTGTATTGGACACTTTGATCACGACCTCACTATTGCATTACTCGACTCCTATCTGGAGATTTTCGTAACAGCTGGTATCAGAGTTACGTTCCTGCCCATTCAGGTTAGGTCCGCCCACCCGATTCCACCCTAGCCCTAGCCTACCACCCCGTCGTTCCCCTTAGCGCGCCCCGCCGGCCCTTAGCGCCCCGCCAACCCCTCTTGTGCCCGCTGGTCCCCCAAGCCCCCCGCCAGCCCCTCGCATACCCCGCCGGCCCCTAGCGTACCCCGCCGGCCCCTCGCGCGCCTTGCCGGCCCTTAGAGCCCCGCCGGCCCCTCACGTACCCCGCCGGCCCTTAGCGCCCCTCCGGCCCTTACCGCCCCGCCAGCCTCTCGCGTACCCCGTCGGTCCCTCGCGTGCCCGCCGGCCCTTAGCGCCCTGCCGCCCCTTAGCGCCCCGCAGGTCCCTCGCATACCTCGCCGGCCCCTCGCGTGCCCACCAGAATTTAGCGGCCTGCCGGCCCTTTACACCCCGCAGGCCCCTCGCGTACCTTGCCGGCCCTTAACACTCCGCCGGCCCTTAGCGCCCCGCCGGCCCTCGCGTTCTCCGTCGGCCCCTCGCGTGCCCGCCGGCCCTTAGCGCTCCGCTGACCCCGCTGGTCCCTTTAGTGCCCCGCCGGCCCAAAGCGCCCCGCCAACCCCTCGAGCGCCCACTGGCCCTAGTGCCCCACCTGGCCCTTGCGCTCTGTCGGCCCTTGGCGCCTCCCCGCCCCTTTCGAGCCCCGCCAGCCCATTGCGCCTCGCCGGCCTACTACGCGCCTCGGGCCCAGTGCGTCCCACTCGGCCTTCCACTTGGTCTCCCCACTGGAGAGTTCTGCCGCTACGCTGCTGTGCCGCTATGCCGCTGAGTAGCTGTGCTGATGTGCCACTGTGTTGCTGTGCCGCTGTGCCGCCGTGGCGCTGCGCCGTCGTCTTGCTGGGATGGGCACTCCCTGGCTATGCATGTTAATGGTTTGCTTACCCGCCCCCTCCGTGCCTAATCCCCTCCCTGCTAACCCCACCACTGCTGCGCGTGAGGCCTTTTCTGCTACTGCCCTTGCTCGCGCTGTCTGGGATGCCCGCGATGCCGTAGCGCAGCTAGCCATTAGTCCTGCTTTTCCCCTGTCTGCGCGTCCGGGCTTCACTGCTGTCGCGAACGCCAAGGATTTCCTAGATGCAGTCATTGAGCGCTATTCCACAACCGCCTCCGCCTCTGCTCGCCGCCTGATCCTCCCCATGCTATTCCTAGATCTTACCGCTTTCCCCACTGTCGCTGACCTAGCCACTCACCTCCGTGCCCTAGGGACTAGCTACCCCGCCGCTAGCACTGCCGCCCAGCTCACAGCCTTCCCTCCACCGTTCTGCACTACCCTGTACCTTATTGCCATGCGCCTCCCGGACCGCTTAGCCTCTTCTCGCGACCACTTCCTTAGCCAGCACCCCGGTGACCTCACCCTGACCACCTTTGTCACTGCCCTGTCTGAGATAGAGACTCCCTAGCACACTATCGCTCAGTCACACGTACAGTACGCTGATGTTTCAGCCGCGGTCGCTTCGACTTCCCCTGCCGCCGAGACCGCAGCTGCGGTTTCCCCGCAGCTGCGACCGCGTCAAGGCCGTTGTGGCCCCAAGGGAGGGCGTGGTGGTGGTGCTGGTGGTGGTGGTGGTGGTGATGGGGACAGTGGTTCTAACGATGGGGTTGGGGCTGGTGTCCAGGAGCAGCAGTAGCCGCAGTCGACGCAGCAGCAGCCGTCACAACAACAGCAGCCGCAGCAGCAGCCGTAGCAGCAACAGTAGCAGCAGCCATGAACTGCCTCCCGCCGAGGTGGTCATATGCCTCTGGAGGTGGTGGCCGCGGTGGTGCTCCTCGCAGCTTAGCGTCTACCGGCAGCTTCGGTGCTGTGAGCTGGCAGTACCAGCTCCAGACCGGCCCCCTCCGCGTCACTGTGTGTAGCCGCCCGCACCCGACCGCCCGCTGCTTCCGCCGCCTCGACGACCTCTTTCGTCGCCACTTCGGCCCAGCCCCGGACCTCCCTGACTGGCCCAGTCTGCTGTGCCATGGCGTGCCTGTCTTTGAGTTAGACATGTATCAGATTAGTTCTTCCCTGCATTCACTATATGCTGATGCTTCTAGTGTGTCCGGATCTTATTACCCAGTGCTCTCGAGTTTATGCGTAGTACCTGTGTGTAGTACAGACTCCCTTGCTATGCCAGGCGTATGACCGTTTGCCTTGTGTAGCCTAGGCTCCATACTCGCTCCT